TGCCTACTCTTGGTTTGTCAATTCAACAATTGAATTAAAACCATTAAATGTTTTCAATGTTTTGTATGTATTATTATATATTATCATTATTATTCTTCTGTTGTCATATTTTTCATTGTCATTGTTATATATATATATCATTTTTAATAAAATTGAAGTGTCTGAATTTCATTACATTTTATAATCTAATTATAAATTGTCAAATGAGACGAATACAACTTATAATTAAATATTGCAACATTACACACGTGCATATTAATAATTTATACACTATTATACATGATATTTTGCTATATTGCCTACTCTTGGTTTGTCAATTCAACAATTGAATTAAAACCATTAAATGTTTTCAATGTTTTGTATGTATTATTATATATTATCATTATTATTCTTCTGTTGTCATATTTTTCATTGTCATTGTTATATATATCATTTTTAATAAAATTGAAGTGTCTGAATTTCATTACAATTTATAATCTAATTATAAATTGTCAAATGAGACGAATACAACTTATAATTAAATATTGCAACATCACACACGTACATATTAATAATTTACACACTATTATACATGATATTTTGCTATACTACCTATTTAACCCGAGAGAGATAAAAATAGTTATGTATCAATCCATTTGGATTTTTGATCTCTTGCCTTACGATTTTCTTCTCAATTTTAAGGAGTAAGCATCACTTGTTAAAACTGTAAAATTAATTCAATAGGAGAATTCAATGTGTTGAAACGTTATATGTAATTGTTATTTATCAACGTTCAGTTTAACGAAATTAAGTTTGATATCTGATTTGAAATTTCACGATTTACTTTTTCTTTTAAATCGAGACCTTGACTTGTACCACGAGTACGACTCGATATTATAAGTCAAGCGGTTAAACATGCGTTGTTGATGTTGTGAAAATGCAAACTGTTAACATGTATGTATGCAATACTTCAACTACTCACGTGATTACACTTATATATATAAATTTATATTTAATTATATTATATATATATATATATATAATATGCAAACATATATAATAGTTAATTTCTTACAAAAATCGCTCTCAGACCCTCCAATTTCGCTAAAATCCAAAATGTCGAAAATCATTGATCCGAATTCAGTGATCAAACGCTGCAGACCGTCTTTGAACTCGAATAATCCAAACACCGATTTACGGGAGCGCGAGATCGATTGAATTACCCTTTGGCTCCCCCTTGTCCGTGCAGCTCTGCTTCAGGGCCGAGGTATGTACGTCGATTGTGCGAGAAAGGGAACTCACGAGCGTGTGATGTTTCAGACACCGCTGGCAGCGAGGTGAAGTTCGACGAGCACGGGGACGGGTTGGCGCGCTACGAGATCCTCAACTTCCGAAAATCGGACAACAACGGGACTAATGGATATCACTATCGGGCAAGTGAAAGTACTTTTGACTTTTCTTTCCGCCGATTAATTACAACTTCTCTCTCGAAATACGGTCTTCCTGCACCTCTCTCGTCCTCCATCCTCCCTCCACGACTCTTTGGCAACGGTCTCTCGTCATCATCCCACCCCCCCTAGGAGAGTCGAAGGGCAAACTTTCCGCGAACCGCGCCGATTCGAACCGCTTTCGGGCACTTTTACGCTCATTCGAGCCTGGCGTAATATCGAAATTGAAGTTCCTATTATTGGATTCCGGCGAAATTTCAACGACCGGCAGAGATAATTATCCTTCCGGCAACTTCCCGACCGGTGGTATGAACTGCTATAAATTGAAATAATCCTCCGACCACTGGGAAGGGAGAGAGAGGGGGGAATTAGTTTGGTTACACAATTGAATTTCATCTCCCTATCCCTCGTACACTTCGTCGCTTCCAGAACTCTTTTTAACCTGCTCCCTCGAGTAGTGTGTCTTTTAACCGCCTCGTGAAATTGATTTTTCCCTCTTTGAGAAATTGGGTTTAACGTGCTTTCCCTTGAATTTTCCCTCCCTCTGTTTTCTTCTTTTTCTTTTTTTTTTTTTTTTTATCGTGGGAACGTTTTAAAATTGCTTTTCTAAAGAACTTGACGCTATCGAAGGGCAAGGGTTGAATAATTGAAAGTCTTCATTTCCGAATCTTTTCGCGCGTTGCATTCTCTTTTAGGATTTTTTTTTTTTGTAGTTTCTTTTGACAGTCTTCTGAGTTATTGAAGACCAAACCAAATTAATGCAACTGCATTTGCAGTTAATAGATATCGTCAAATTCTGTGAGAAACAGGCGTCGGCATTATTCGAATAAAATATACGGAAGACGATTATTTAAGTGATATGTCATCTTGAAATAATTCGTTTGAGCCAAGAAAATGACCTTTCTCTAAATTATTTGATCATTTGATTACTAAATGAAATAACTTTTTCTGTTATATTTGTCTCTAAAAATAATTTCTACTGGAATTATTTGTTATTTTATTTCAATGAATTAACTCAAATGAAAGATTATTTGCAAATGATTTACTTGATTTGGACTCAAGATAAATTATTTTTCAACTAAGAATAACAAATTGACCTTTCTCTAAATTATTTGACTATTTAGCTACTAAATGAAATAACTTTTTCTGTTATATTAGTCTCTAAAAATAATTTCTAGTGAAATTATTTGTTATTTTATTCCAATGAATCAATTCAAACGAAAGATTATTTGCAAATGATTTACTCGATTTGGACCCAAGATCAATTATTTTTCAACTGAGAATAACAAATTAGTTGAAATGATCCATTATATCAAATTATAATTCGTTTTTGTCTCTGTTTCAAATAAATTTTATTTTAAAAAATCCCGATGACAAAAAATTCCAAACATTTCCATCTTCTACGTAAATTCCATAGTTTTGCAAATTTCAAAGTAACTGAACTATTCACAGTGTTGTAATTAATTCTTCCCTGGTCTTTAATTTAAGGGATAATCTTTCAGAGAAATTTTTAAGAAATTAAACCGAAGAGCCCAGAATCTATTTTCCTCTCTTTTTCCTTCGCTAAGTTCAAGTATCAATTATTACTTGGGCTAATCTATCTTGGAACAATGCGGTCTACCTCTGATGATACAATTTTATCTTGTTGATCGCGAAAATCGCTCGTGACTTCTCCATGTATTATTCAGAGATGAGGAAATAGCCAACAGGCATGGAACCAAGGAGATATTCTCCTCCCTAGTGTCACTCGTTACTGTGCAATCTTATTTGCAGACATAAGACTTTTTCTCGATACAGGTAACATGTCTATTTTTGTAATTGCACAGTGGGACCTTGCACAATGCGGCGCACGTCTTAAGACAATCGGGAAATTGCTACCGTGTCCTGTATAATTCTTTAACCCTTTCGAGTGCTTAAAAATTCTAACGAAAAGTTTGAAAGTTTCATACTGAAAACAAATTAGGAGCGCATTCATTCTTGAACACAGGATGTCCCACAGTCCGTGATATTACAATTAAAAATGAATCGAAAAGAAAGAATAAAATATTTTCGTTCGAGGCTTGAAATTAAATTAATTTTCCGACTGGTTTTTAACATTATATATATAAATTTGTTTACATTTCGTTTCTGAGAGAATTCAATTCGAAAATTTATCAAGTGTTCGCGTGCAAATTACAAAGCAATTTGTAGCAAAATGTACTCAAAGTCCAACTTCTCGAAAAAATTACATTCCACATTTTTTCGCTTTTGTGTTAATAAAACATTCAAGAACCGACATTCATGATTCTTCCTTATTTTTACTTACAAAATATGCTGACAAAGTTATGCGGAAAAAACTGGGACACCGTGTGTGCGACAGTAAATATTAGAGGAGCATATCGTTGCATTGCCTTGAACGTACGAAGTGAACAAATAAGAGCAACATTTGTAATTGTTTGCCTTTTGCGCTTTATTGCAGACTTGGCTCGTTTATGATATGCATATGTAAATTGTATTTTCAAACTGACCCGATACATAAATATCGTACATAGATACCGTTTCGTACATGGTTGTCGGATCTTTATGCAACTTTGTGTTTTTACGAGTGTAATTTAAGAAATGTGCATTCACTTGTGACACATTCTTTTCATTTTTGACAAAATTCTGTTCCAATTTATATATTTCGTAGTGGAAAAGAAAAATCTATCCTCGTGGAATTTTTATAGAAAGAATTATTACACTTGGGAACACTTTTGAATGACGTTCTCGCGAAACAGATATTTTAGAATCTGTACGATAGTACGAAGTTCCATGGAAACAAGTTATTTCAGAAAGGTTAAATTAAAAATTCACTTTTCGAGTACTGTTCATTGAACAATATATTCAAGTGTCAGTATTTGCTACAAATATCGAGAACTTTTTTAATATCGATGAACAAATTGTGCGTCTCTCCGGCAGAAAAGTTTTCACTTTTACATTTTAGAAGTTCTAAGAGCATTTGTTTATTCGTTCTCATCCGATACTTGTAACGTAAGAATGTAACATTTTTCGAAAAAGTTCCACGATCCATGTTTCAAGTAGAAATTATTTAAAAATTCCTTAATTTTTCCAATCTCTGCTTATAACACTCATTGTAACAAGCATTCTGCTTCCAATATTCTATATATTTTTATAATTTTATATATATATATATATCATCATTTATTTTATATAATCATGTCATCGATTATTGGGGACGGTCTCGAACTGAAACCTCGAGAACGAAACGACGTGAAACAGTCGCGTACAGGCTAAGCTAAGACCGTGGCTCCCTCGTATCCAATTAACAATTGCTTTTCGATAAAAATCGTAAATCAAACCGTAGAACCGGGTGCGCCGGTCGTGTTTCGAGCGATAAAGTAGCCGCCGGACGTAAATTGCAACGTGACCTTCGCCGTGCCCGCCTTCCTGCCTTGCTAGATGCAACTTACAGGATGAAATATATAACTTTTGCCCGCCGGAACAGGTAACTCTAAATCGTCAAAGAGCGCCCCGGGTCGGCCGTTTATTAGAAAAGAAAAAAAACAGAGAGAGAGAGAGAGAGAGAGAGAGAGAGAGAGAGAGAGAAAGAGAGAGAGGAAGGAAGAAGAAGAGCAAAAACAAAATGATAACGAATCTTTTTCTACGAGAAAAATTTCCACCCTAGTGTTTCAATCTTTACGGAAATGTACGCGTACCTCATTGTCAAAAACTCGCGTTTTGTCCGAAAAATTTTCCAAAAATACCGCTCATTCCCAATCTTTCGTAATTCTAAAGGACATTTTCATTTCCCATGTGATTCAATTTATCTTGACAAACAAACAAAAAATAGCGTTCTATAAAGAATTTTAAAAAATTAAAATTAATAAAAATTTAATTAAATTGAAATTGATAAATTAAATTAATAGAAATTAAATTTAAATTGATAAATCATCAATTTAATTATCAATTTAAATTAAATTAATAAAAATTTAATTGAATTTAATAAAAATTAATAAAAGTTAAAAGTTAAATTTAATAAAAATTAAAATTTTAAAAAATTAAAAAATTAAATTCACCTTAATTTCGTGAAAAATATTGCAAACAGTAGTATAAAATTATTATACACTACTGTGTTGGTCGTAGCGAACTGTACATTTTCTCTTCGTTTACCATTTCTGGGACAAAATTAACGCGAACACTCTATACATAAAAAGTGTCCCATATTAAGCTAACCACGTAATTTTCTCTTAAACTATTCGCTACAGAAAAAAAATGTTTCAAATAAAACTCACGTTGTTTCGAGGAAGACACATCTTACTGTGGCCACGATCTTTATTCCAAACAAAGTTACCTCGAAATCTCGAAACAAACGTTTCAAACATAAAACTCAAGTTTCATCCGAAACATTTTTCTCTACAGCAATCTCGTGGTTTAGCTCCGTATGGGACAAACCGTATATACGTGAATCTCGATCGATCGCAGAGCAAACGAAAAAAGAATTTCCTCCCCAGGGTACGAACGTTTCAACGTTATAAACGTTCCCCGGGTCAGAGAACATCGAGGCACGCAATCGAGTAGCCAGAATTGAAATCGCGCACTCGTCCACTGTCCGTCCAATAGACTTCGCCCTGAAACTTCAACGTCGATCAACGCGTCGGAAAAACGGCGTTTTCGAGAGAGAAAAAAAGAAAGAAAAAAAAAAAAAAAAAGAAAAACGCGTTCATCGCTGGCCGTCGGCTATTTTTCACAAAATTCACGCGGCCGTGTGACAGATAGGACAGACACGAATCTTACAGAGGTCGGCGGTGACGCGGGTTCGGTCGTGTGTCATTCGCGCGAAGACGACATCGGGCACGGTGGAGCGATCGATAACGATGGGCAACGACTGGTCTGTCGAGCAGGTGGTAGGAAAATGGTTCAACTCGTTGGACATTCAGACGGAGGAGCTGATCTGGGCACGAGGCACCAAGGACATACCGATCTCCGCGTGCTCGCTACCCTGCCAGCCAGGTATGATAAAGAAGCAACAGGGTGACACTTGTTGCTGGGTGTGCGACCAGTGCGAGGAGTACGAGTACGTCTACGACGAGTACACCTGCGTGGACTGCGGCCCGGGGAAATGGCCGCACGGCGACAAGAGGGGCTGCTACGAGCTGCCGATCAATCACATCAGGTGGGACAGCGCGTTCGCGATCGCCCCGGCGGTGATCTCGTGCCTTGGAATCGTGGCCACACTGGCGGTCGCGTGTCTCCTATTCCACCATAGGGACACGCCGGTGGTCAGGGCCTCGGGACGCGAGCTGACGATCATTCTGCTGGCCGGAGTGCTCGTCTGTTACTTGAACACGTTCCTGCTGCTGGCAACGCCCACCACCGTCACCTGCATACTGCAGAGATTCGGCGTTGGGGTGAGTTTCAGCGCGGTTTACGGGGCACTGTTGACCAAGACGAACCGGATCGCCAGGATCTTCGACTCTGCCTCGAGGACCGCTGTTAGGCCAAGGTATATCAGTCCTGCGTCTCAAGTCTGCATCGCGGCCGCCCTGATCGCGTTGCAGGTGAGAGAAACAGACGTCATGCATGCTGTCTATGTTTGCCGGCCTGTTGACCTCTCGATCATCCGATTAACACGTTCATTGTGGACTTGGCACTATCCTTGGAACGATCTTTTCTTGTCGCGTGATATTTCACCGAAAGAAACACTCGTTTTTCGACTTTTAATCACTTGCGCTCGAACGACGTGCCACGCGCGTCGAGAATTTTTTGTTTAAAAATTGCAATATTTTCTCAGTTTTAGATATATTTAAGCATAACCAGATACACAGGCAAAAAGGAATAATAAATTTATTACTTCTCGGTAATTTTTATCCAGTGATATCGTACCGACGAGTTCAAAAAGAAAGCGACGAATCATTGTATACGGTTTGGTCACTCGTTATGGTCCGCAATCAGTTGCCAGAGCAAGTGGTCAATCACATCAACTTATTGGATATTTATTCTAATCTAGAGTCTGGAAAATTAATTTTTGCTGCTACTTTTTTAAAGAGTTCTTAAAAAGAAGTTTTCCAAACGTACTCTTCTTTGACGTTATGTTCTCTACGTTATTTATCAGTGCATCTGTTTCGAGAATATAACTGTATATAATTTCTTTTGAAGTGAAAAAAATTAAAATTGTATCATATACATTATAATAAATTGTTATATAATAAAATTTACATTAATTATATAATTGTTATATTATAAAATTTGTATAAATAGATAAATAGATATTGTAACATGTTGTGCAACAAAACATTAAGTTTACGTAGTTGAAATTAATGAAACTAAAAGTCATTTGTTGCATCCTTTAAAAAGCGTGTGTGCATTACTAGATTTATTTCTTACATGCCATAATTCTGATATCTTACTTATTTGAATTGAGAAAGCTAAAGAAATTCTTTGTCATTATGTAATGTAATTACGAACGCGAATACGACAAGCATAAAAAATGCTGGTTAAAGTTTGAATGTCCTTCAATTTTTTTTTTTTTTTTTTTGTCTTCTACGAACTGAATAAGCAAAAGAAGAAAAAATACATTTTCGATCAGCCTATGGTTCACGTGATAGCATGATCCTTCCGTACAGAAGATGTATACTAAATTTAGAGTCAACCGGTCAACTGGAACTTGAGATATCGTATCGGCCATTTCAGAAAATGTGGTTCCAAGAGAAACGAGCTTACAGTCTCTTACACGTTACACATTGCGTACTGTCTCCTTTGTCAATTTAAAGAATTAGAAATATCTTTTTACTGGTGTAATTCTGAGAAACTATATTTTCGAAAAAAAAAAGGATATAAAATATGTAAATATACAAAAAAAGTATCAAAAAATATGAAAAAACAATTTTTAAAAACTAGACACGTTAAATTACGTAACGATTATTGAATGTTTTTTTCTTTCCTCTTTTTCTATCAAATACAAAAGCAACAATTTTCATACAGAATCTGTCTCTATCGACAAATTTTATATATTTATTTGATATAAATTATAAATCGTTAAATTTACAATAGAAATAGCAACGATAGAGAAACGAAAGACAGAGGATCATAATACATAATTACACGACGAAACACGTGCAAACTTTAATTAACAATCACATCGGTAATATTATACACGTGTATCAAAATGCTTTAAAGCAACTTCTCCAAATTAACAATCACAACGGTGATATTATACACGTATATCAAAATGCTTTAGAGCAACTTCTCCAAATTAGGTAAATTGATTTATTTTAATTTCAGCAAATAAATATTTTCCATGTAATTTATTTTGTATACATATTGTTTTAAATTTTCATACATAACATTATGTATGAAAAGAAAGATTGAAAGTATATTTTAACATATTTTTATTATTTATTTATTTATTCTTTTAACTCAAACAATCTCGCTGATCTCCTTTTCATATTGTGCGCAATGAACGTGTTAATGTTTCTCATTGATTTTTATGTCTTTGGCATATATTGCCAAAACCATATATTAAATACAGTTTAATATATTTAATATTTAATATATTAAAATTATATAAAATTATTTAATATATTTAACGTATACAAATATATTAAATACAGTTTAATGTACGTCTATGTGAACTTCGTTTATACAAAATTCTAGTGCCAGATTATCTGAATTCTAGCTGTGCTCCTTACTTTTATATTACAATACATAAACTACCTCTGTGCGTCAATCCATTTACGATTCTCGTTAACATTCGACTGCTAAATATTTAAATTATCGTAACCTTGTAAAGAGAAACGTACGATAATATGTCTGGATTTATTTTAAAACTCGAAGCCTCACAAAACGCATCGTTCATTTTATTTTAAGATGTCTCAAATGAAGATACTTCAGACGCTATAGATTACGTCATAGCGGGTAAAAATTGAACAAAATTTTTTCATGACTGAGAATTTACAATGGATTTGAATTTGCATTTTACAACAACTTCTAAACTTGTATGATAAAAAAAATCACGTTTGAACGTGAGTTTAATTTGAAATTAATGATATTAGTTTTCTCTTATATACTGACGTTTCGTTAAAAAAAAACAAAAAAAAAAAAAAAATAGCTGGGAAGAGAAACTTTTGGCCCAGCCTTTGTGTCGCGACGAGATACTAAGGGCCAAGTGTTTCACTCCCAAAAAGCTCCCAAACCCTTTCTTGCACCTAACGGTAGAATTTGGGAAACAACGCTTTGAAAACTTCTAATCGCGTTGTGTGTCTCTGTTTTCACGGTATCAGGTAGTTTTGACCCTAGTGTGGATGATCATCGAACCACCGGGGACGAGGTTCTCCTATCCAGACCGGAAGCAGGTGATCCTCAAGTGCAACATACAGGACATGAGTTTCCTCTTCTCTCAGCTGTACAACGCGTTGCTGATCCTGATCTCGACGGTGTACGCGGTGAAGACGCGGAAAATACCGGAGAACTTCAACGAGAGCAAGTTCATCGGCTTCACCATGTACACCACCTGCATCATCTGGCTGGCGTTCGTGCCGATTTACTTCGGGACCGGAAACGCGCATGAGACCCAGATCACCACGCTCTGCGTGGCAATCAGCCTGAGCGCCACGGTGACGCTCGTTTGCCTGTACTCGCCTAAGGTGTACATCATCGTCTTTCAACCGGACAAGAACATCCGCAGGAAGGTCACGATGGGTGACAAGTCGAAGAAGCAAGGGAGCAGCGCGGGCACTTCCTCCATTACCAAATGTGAGTATAGTCTTGTGTCGAGGAACATTAAAAAGCAGCGTTGATCTTGGACTGGATTTCGACTGAAATTTTACTTCGAAGTGCAGCTTCTCTAGCCGAAAAGTCGGGAACACTTGTAATATACCGACTGATCTCGTGTGTTTCTATTGAAAATCTGAATGCCTGGATAATTTTATATAACACTTTGTATCAAAATATTTTAATGACAATATAATTTCATAATGATTTTCGTTAGTGTTTGAAAAATTGATTTGTAACATACGTAGCTTTAATTTTTATTCGTGTACATAATATTCATTTTTTAATGATTAATAATTTGTGTTTTGTGCTTTTATTTTGATTGCAACATGATTCTTTGATAATATCTAGTAATTTAGCAATCGTATTATAAAGGAAAAAAAATTTTTAAGTATTCTATGAATTTATGATCCTTTGTTCATAAGTGTTCTGCAAGTGACTCCGCCTTTCTGGTTCAAGTGTTCAAAAAATTTCAATATTTTAAAAGTCAGAGAGACACAATATCAACGCACGAATCGCTATTTATGCTGCTAATTATACTGTTTCGTTATGTTATTCTGAAATAGTAACTTGTAATACTTGGCTAACATAACAAGCTAGGAACCCGGCTACTTTGTACTTTCTCTATGAAGCTGACGTGAAAGTTTAAAAGTTGGACGAAAGTTTATCGCTTTTGACATAGAGAGCGCACTGTAACGCAGAACTCGGGTATAATCTGAATAAAAATACGAGCACAAACGTGCGCCTGAAGTCAACTTCTTACTTTGGTGCACAGTTAGTTACATGCCGGATTTCGTGCATTTGACTTTTCAAAAGAAATCAAAAAACGTAGGTATCTCGGAACATTTGTTTTTTCATTGTTCATTTACATGTTAAGAGAGAATTACTGGAATCAGTTTAGCATACTAATTTTCCATTTCAGAAGAGATTTACGAAAATTTCGATAAAAATCTTGGGACGAATTTTGTGACATTGTATTTTGCACTTTTTCATCTTCACGCCAAATATAACAAATATACAACAGATAACATACTAAGTTTTTAAATAAATGGCATAGTAAATTGTTTAAAAACATCTGTCTAATTTCAATTGACAAAAAATTGTTTTGCACCTCGTTTTATGGAGACTTTTATAATCGTCCAACGATGCTTAAAAGATATTGATAGTAATATCAAAATAATTCAAAGGGAACAGTCTTTAATTTCTAACATAAATTATAGTTCTTTTCAAAACTGATTCCGTAACCCAATCAAAAAGAAACGAGAAACTTGAAACGTTAGACGCTAATCTTCACTTATTCTTATTTATGAGTTTATATACACACTGAAGTTCATAACTGCATCAATGGCAATGAAAAATTGTCGAGAATTTAAACTGAGATATAACTTTGTAAAGAAGAATTATCTAACGATCCATTTGGTCTCATTTTAAATGATAATCGTGAGTTCGTTTTCTCTGAAAATAATTTTACACTTTCGCCGGTGGCAAAAATTTCTTAGAATAAAATGAACCATGTATTTTGGAAACGGAGACTTCAAACTTCAAAATAAGCTCCGGTTTGTGATCTATTTTCATGAAACTTCAATAGTTCAAATATTTAGCGTCTGAATATCAATGTGAGACAAGTATTGTCTGGAAAATTATGTGTCATTGAGTAAATTTTTACACTAGAACAATCAAACTCGTCAATACGATGAATTTCAGATTTTCTTTGTCAATTGCTAAAAAAAATTGGGTATTTTTGTCAAAATTAATATTAATTTCTGTCTAAATAGAAACGTAATTGTATAAATTAAATCTGTTTATTTCATTAGCTAAAAATCTAAATCCAATTCTGTATATGAATTAACAATAACCATTATCTAAAATTTTCACTATACTACTTAGAGTATATATTTAAAGAATCACTTTAGAAAATCGGAGATGGCTCCCTTTTTTGTAAATAATTATTAACGGATTTTTATGCGTTTATAAAAAAATTTCAGAGTAGAAAGATGCTTATAATATATAAAATTATATGAAACACTTAAAGAAATAGCACGTAGAGGAAACAATTATCCATTTAGATTTCATTCTTTTAATTATTTTACTTATGAAAAAAACTTAAGAATGCACGCAATATATAAAAATATACGAAATATTCGAAGAAAACACGTAGAGGAAACAATTTTCCATTTAGATTTCATTCTTTTACAATACATGTGTATTTCTTTTAAAATACATGAAATACTCAAAGAAATAATAATACGTAGAAGAAACAATTATCCATTTAGATTTCATTCTTTTAATTATTTTATTTATGAAAAAACTTAAGAAAACACGCAACATATATGAAATATATGAAATATTCATATATGAAATATTCATATATGAAATATTCAAAGAAAACCAATAACCATAATAACACATAGAGGAATCAATTTTCCATTTAGATTTTATTCTTCTAATTATTTTATCTATAAAAATTTAAAAGATGCGTACAAATTCGCAGTCTAGCAATTACCAAAAAAAAAAAAAAAAAAAAAAAAAAAAAAAGAATTAAGATTCGGAATCCACCGGAGCCTATAAACGGTAGGCCAAACAGTTCTACTGGAACAATGACGATCGATTGCGTCGCGCGAAATATAATATACGCGGTGTTCCATTTTAAAAGAAGCGAACTTTTCGCCTCTCGGTTCGAATCAGCCCGGGGATGACAAAGGTGGCTAATAATGCCGCCGAATCCGCTGACTCGATCGCAAATTACGAAAGCCTCGAAACACGGTAGTGAAACTCGGCTCGCTGCCAACACCTTGTACCACCCACGGCCTCCTCCACTTTCTCTCTATCTTTCTCTCTCTCTCTCTCTCTCTCTCTCTCGACCGTACGTCGTATTTTCTTTGTACTCTGCACTTCATCGCGACACGAAGTCGATCAATTTGTTGGATCCTCAAGCGTCTACCACGGCAAAACAACAATCCTCGCCGAGGAAAACATTGTCCCGTCTCTGGGCCATTATGAACCGAGCCCTTATGAAACAGCTCCGTGGATTAACCCTTTCGTTGTTGATTAAAATAACCGCCAGCTGCGAGATATGACTGTCCCAGAATTTAAAAAAAGAAGGCACGCTTCACTGATCTCGTCGAGCTGTATATATATATATCGCCAACATTCTGAGTGATTTAAAAAATATAATCAAATTTACCGGGTAAAAATATTTTTCGACACTACTGTGTTTTTTTAATTTACTCGGACGTTTCTTTTTATTACTTCGACTTTTAGTTTGCTCGATTATTTTTTTAGTTTGATTTCAATTTACACGACCTTTGAATAGATAATTTTTCGTTTAGATGATAAAAAAAAAAGTAATTATAATTATAAGATTTTATTAAAATTATATATATATATATATATATAGATTTCATTGACGACGTAAGAAGTCTAGGATTACGGGATTAGGAACTATAATGGTTGCATCTCATTATATCACAGCCGAAATATTCCCGATCAATACTATAAAACTTTGTATAAAATTATGTTTATTATTTTCTAACGCAGATCCTAGAAAATTTTTTGTATATTTATATATATAACTAAAAGTGAGTGGCACTTATAAATTATATATATATATATATAAATGAAGTAAGTCAATACGTATTGCAAAGTATTCAATGAAACTTGTGAGGTATCGTAGCAATAATTGGGATAAAATTATTGGATTTAAATAAACTTCAACTTAAATTTCACCTTAAAGTAAAATTCACCTTTAAATTTCAATCTTAAAATTTTCACGAGAAGATCAGACTTGAACATCATGAAGCACTATTAATCTCTAATATAATGATGAGATAGAATGTAACAAAACATTGTGTAATTTAGCTTCAGCAAAAAGAAAAAGAAAAAAAGAATGAAAAAGTCTCATGGAAAAATGATTAGAAATTATTTTAATTATTTGGATCAACTAACTATAACAAAATAAAAGAGACAATACAAATGTTGTAATAATATTTTGTGTAAAGTCACCAAATATTTTCGCCAACATCACTAAAGATATAACATTTAAACAGGATTGTCTTTACATGTATTAAATATAACAGTGTATATTTCACTCTGAATATTTCATACAATATGTTAGGTTTAAAGACCGAAAACGCTCAGTAAGCGAAAAAAAAGACGACCAGAACGCGTTTTGACTTTAGAGAAACGACTACAACGCGAAATTGTTTTTGAACAACCACAACTCGTCCTGACACGTTAACCCTCCGCGGGCAATCATGTTTTTCGCACTTTCCGCGAGTGGTTTGCCTAAATGACAAATTTTTTTTTATTATTTTACTTTAAAAAAAAAAATCTAAAAAATACTCCGAAATACTCGTTGAAATCTCTACTTTAATATACAATCGGCCTTAAAATTTCGAAAAAATAATTGAAAAAGTGAAAGTTCATTTCGAAGGAGTTCAAAAGTGAAATTTCGGGATAACAAATTAAGTTCGCGAATGATTAAAAATTACCACGACGCGAAATTCGTGTTGTTAAAGAAATTGACCAGAACGCGTTATGGTATTTTCATAATGCCTCCTTCCATCCTATAAAACATTTAACTCGACCCAGACTTATTTTTAGTTAAATGAGACTCAGATTTGAATCTTTCTTCAAGATCAGGACGCGTTCTGGTTGTTTCTTACGTTCACTGAGCATTTTCGATCTTTGAGTTTAACACATACACACACACACATATTGTGAATTTAAATTCATGGTACGAACAGATATAAAGTCGGAGGAAGATTCTTTACGGATGATTCAAAATAAGATCGAGGTTGGAAATAACGCCAGAGACTTTTATTTTCAAGAAAATAATAATATATAATACAAACAAATAATATATAAATAATATATAAATAATAATATATAATACAAACAAATAATATATAAATAATAATATATAATACAAACAAATAATATATAATAATAAACAAATAAATTGTCTCTGAAAACTTGAAAAC